ATTCTGGAGTTAAATTATTGCTCTTATATGTGTACATGTTCCATTTACCCAAAATGAGTAAATTTTGTGATAGGTACATTATATCTCAGTAGGGCTGTTGAATGAGTATAGGGAAAGAAGAAATTATTTGTGACTGAGGAACTTGGGCAATATTTTTTGCAGCCATTAGTATTTAAGCTGGGTCTGGAAGGACAAGTAGTATTTAGATCAGAAAATAAGCAATTGGGTATTTCAGGGAGAGGAAACAACTTATTTAAAATCTAAGAGTTCAACAATATGAGGAATGTTCTAGAAAAGCTAGCACAGACTTTTTTCCATGCCACAGGACCCAGATCCTAAAAGAATAGACATCTAAAGGGAAGGCCAACATATTCTGACCTGCAAAGAATAGGATGAGGGAGATAAAATGGTAATATAACTAGATGATCAATGAACAATTAAAAATCTGATAATTAAATTGCATGACCCCTATGAACCAAAACTCATTTCATACAAAAAGTTAAAATAAATGAACTTAATTACTATCATTAATAATAGGAAAATCAACTTGAAATTTTTTCTAATGAGCTGATATGATGCTACTATTGACAGAAACAATTCATGTTAAAATAAGTTTTATTGACAATAGAAAAAGGTGCATAGGAAACTTAGTAGTAACAGATTCTAAATAGGCAGTCTTTTTTGTTGTTTGCTTTAAAATGTTAAAAGATCAAAGTTTAAATTGGGCCTTTCCACACCATTGTTACAGAACTTCTCAAAATACAGAAGTAAGCAAAATACATCATACAGCCATTTAATTTCTAATTTAAAATGTGGCTACTGACCAGTTTAAAAAAAAAAAAGAAAAACCCTACTAAAATAGAGGGTTTTCCTTATGTCCATCAAAGGTGATGACTTATCTTGTTCTTGACTTTGACCCCACTTAACCAATTTCTCATAATTTTGCAGTATGAGACATAGTGTATAGATTCGGTCCAACTATAAGAAAAAAGAATACAAGTTAGCCTAATGAGCAGCAAAATAGAGGCAATTTTTATGAAACCTGAGTGTTAATTTGTAATCAAATCTCCATTTTAATATTTATACATTATTATATAATTATAAACCTATTCTTAACATGGGTTTTATTTTATTTGTTTCTCTCCCTCCCTTCTGTGAAATACAGAAGGGCAAGGATGTTTGTTGTTTACACATTTGTACTCCACCAACTGGTGATAAATATCTGGCTTCCACTGGAGAGCCCCTGACATCGCAGGGAACGGTGATCAAAATTCCACACATTAGCTTCAAGCTGGGGGCTCGTAGCTACTGCAGCATTGAAAGGGATCTTTTCCTGATTTCTTTAAAATAGCATGGTAATGGGCTGGTTTAAGGAAGGAAACCTCTCAAATCACATGACCACTGCTGCTTCCGTGTGTCCTGCTTTCTTCATAATGGCTTGGCACTACATTCTTTCCCTGTATCTTAGTGGGCTTGTTTGTGTGTACCAATGGAATGGAAGTTTGGGTGGGGAGGGGATGGTTGTCTATGGATGGCGATATATTATGCATGCATATTTCAATGTTAGAGTTGTGTGCCTTCCCTTATGTGTCATAAATTATGGTCACAGATTAAATCTTCTGTGTTCCTGAGAGATTGGGCCATTTCTTATTGGTGTGAGATTCATGTTTTGATGTTTACATCTCCAATTGTTCGTCATGTTACATTAAGCATAAGTTGAAATGTTCTCCCATGAGAGTTAGCTTTTCATGTTGGGCTGAAAAAGTCTTCATTTCTATGTAGCAATTCATGTTATTATAACCTATGGCTTTCAATTGTACCTCCCATAATGAAGAGCTGACTTTAAACACTGTGCTATTCTTGTTATGACCTAAGCATAAGGTAAGTCATTTCTCTAACTGTATCTAAGATTGTGGTTGTTAAAATTTTCTCAGCTTTATTTAAAGCATTTTCACTTTTTTTCCTTACCATTTATTATGTGCTTTACCCTCTTTCGTTTTCTGTTTCATGGCTTAAGGTATCTTAAAGGACAATGTGATTTTCAGCAAAAATTATATTATACATGTAAACACATGTTAAAATGAATTATTTGATGTCTGAAAGCAGTCTTGATTAGTAAGTCAATACCAATATTTTCAATAAGTCTCTTGTTTTTTATTTCCTCCATTAATATAATAAACTTTCTACTTGTTATTTTAGTTTTGATTCCAGTTGAAGGGGAATTGTCAACACCGTACAATCAGATATTATAGTAAAATAACATAATTCAATAGAATGAAGTAAAAGATAATTCCTGATAAATTTGATATTAGGCCCAATTTTCAGTTTTATTTTGTTTTTCAGATGTTCCTTTTTTTCATTGAGTAAAAAACCCATAGTTAATATAAAGAAACAATAAGATAAAACCTGAGATAGGCCTGTGTTAACTTCCTTATAATACATTTGTGTAAGAACAAGAACAATACTTGTCTCTCAATTTTATTCTTTCAAGTAAATCTCATTACATTGTTAGGTAAAATCTTCATATTGGGATTTTATAAAAATTAATACTATAATAATGTAACATTGAGGAACATTCTGTCCATGCAGAGATACTAACATTTTTTAAAAATATTTTCCTCAATTTTTTTAAAATATATATTCAGTTCACTAGAGTAAAGAAGTTCATGTAATCATTAATTTTAAAAACAATTTCCCCCAAATCTGGGTCGAATGGCCAATGTAATGTAAATAAAAAAACATTGGTTATACTGTTGTTGGAAACTCGTAAACCTAGAAAAATGCTCAAATTCAGAGAATTTAATTGTTTCCCTCATCCAAATTCCCATTTCACAACTGTTTAAAATATGTAGTTCTAACTTGAGGTGTCACAAAACAGCACTTGGGTTTCTTTATTAAATTCATCCCGTAAATGTTTTTTTTTTTTTAATCTGTTAGTCACCAAAGGAAGAGGGTATTTTTTTCATTGTTTATTTTTTGTTTTGTTTTGTAAAGCCAGCTAGTTTTTCACCACCATTTCCATGTAGACATATAAATCTGTTGCATCATTTTATGAGACAATTTGAACTACTCATCTAAACTGCTCTGTTCATTGTAAATCTCTTGTTTCTATCCATACACTAGCTCCACTCTAGATTGGAAGGGCTTAAAGATGAACTCTGGAGGAATAGAGGCTACGACTTAAGAGTAACTATTACTGATCAAAGGAGCTGCTTTCCATTCGCAAACATTGCTTTGCGCTATGGGTTTGGACTCCTTCTGTTTCTGCATCTTGTTGAAGACTTTCTTGACTTCCATTTAACTTCTTTGAACTCTGTTTTGTCTTTCAACATTTATCCCTTTCTTTTCCTTCTCCCAGATTTTCTCTCACTCCTTTAGCTTTCTCTTGTGTTCTTTGAATCACTTTTTAAAACGTAGTTTATCTCTTTGTTAAGCTTATCTGTTAATTTGTCTGTTAGTGTTTGTTTCTTTTCTCCTTTAAGGCTGGAGTAGTATAGTTATACTTATTCTCATTCCATGATTTGCCAACTTGCTTGTTTATTTTGAAGCAAGTTCAGTAGTCATTCTTACCTCTTGGTATATATTTTCAGTAAGAAATAGCAGAACATTCTGCATTTATTATATATTGTCCCTTCCTTTAAGTCCACACTTTCTTTTCTATTGTCTAGAGTTAATCCCTCAAACCTCTCTCTTTTTTTTCTTTCCCTCACTCTGTGTCTTCCTCCTTTTATTGTTTTCTTTAGCTAGTCATTAATTTCTTTCCCATTTGGTCCAGGATTGTTCTTCAATAAAACTTCTGAGTTAAAGAACATAAGATTATTATCTTCCAGATTAGCATCCTCATTCTAATGTATTGGAAACTAAACAGTCTGGGCCAAAAGAGAATAACTTCAACATCTGGAATTATTTTTCCCTTTTTTTATTTTTTTGGGATGCCTGTGTGTACGTGTGTGTGTGTATGTGTTTCTTGTGTGTATGTTTGTGGGTTTTCTTTTAATTATTATTATTGTTCTTTCTTTAAACATTAACAATTGTTTTTTTCAGGGAAGGACAACCATAACCCACCCTAAGTTGCAACATTCCTTTCATAAGTTGTTTCATTACAGTAGTAGATTGTGTTAAGCAATAGAAATTAATTTGTTGTGTATATATCCATTTGGGGCAAGCTGCTGCGGAGTGGGAAGAAGAGGTGTAAAGTTTAAATACAGTTTCCTCTGAAGTCAACAAGTGTTAATGCCATCCAATGTGGCCCTTGAATTCAATAGTTTTGTAACATTTTTTTAAAAAATTCCACTTTGACCTAAAATATTTGAAAACAGCAGGATTTCTGATTGATAAACTATATGCACAACTAAGGATTGGTAAATAAATTATTTAAACTTCATTGATTTCCTACATAAGCATCTTTTATAACCAATATTATAATTATTGTCAGTTATTGTAATCAATAAATAAAAAAGGTTATTAGACTCACACATAAATGTGTCAGAGGATTTCTCCATTTTTCCTCACTAATTTTTCCTCACTAATTTTCCATTTTTCCTCACTAATGTATGCAAACTAAAAATGAGTACAATGAAATACTTGGTTACAACTTCACTCCTTGAATTGCATTATTATTTTAGTCAAGAGATAGATTCAGTGCCTTAAGATTAAGGGTGTGTATTCACAATTGAATATGTGGTAACTTGAATTTGTTTTACTTATGGTAATTTGAAATACATACCAATTTTAAAAATTGCTTTACATTTTACCTATGTACTGTTCACAATATTGTACCCCAAAATTTCTTCTTCAACTCAGTTTTTTTGGTTAAAGTAAGGAAAATGTAAACTAAAAATATATGGTACAAATGTAATAGTTTTACTAACATGTAATGATGCGAGGGATATAAAGCCTTTGCTCCTAGACCTCAGGAGCTTGCCCATTAACTATGCATATATATATCTGATTATCTGTGTTATGAGCCCTAAATTACTGAGTTTATGCTCTCTCTGCAGGTCCAGTCCAGGTGCAGCAGCAAGGAGAACATTCTCAGAGCCAGTAAGTATGTCATTCTTTGGGATGGATTAATGAATTAGAGCTTGTAGTTTCATGGGAAGGAGAGAGAAAAACATTTGGTGAAAGAATGAAAAAGAGCAATGGGGAAAGTTTATATCAAAAAATGAATATTAGGACTTTTGCTTTCTAAAATATTAGTTAACATAGATATATCAATGAAAACTTCCCTTATTCCAGTTGTTTTTGAAAGCTGACACCAGAACTTTGGTCTCACTCCTAGTTAGGGTAGTAATGAGTGGTTCTAAGATGAGAGCCTACTTTAATTGTCCCACTGCCTAAAAGTTATTTGAAAACAATCTAAATGTAGACTAATAATATAAATCTACAAAGAAATGGAAAAAAAAAAAAAGAAAGTGACTTCTAGGCAGGACTTTGTAATTATTTTAAAAATATGAGTTCCTGAAATATCCCTTTCACAGAGAGCATGTTTTAGAACATAGAGCCCTGAATGAAGAATGAAGAAAACTTAATTTTTTTGTTTGATCATTAATAACATTAAATTAAAAGTTATTTAATTTTATGTTTTATTCATTTTCCAGTCTTACAAAAAAAACTGTATAAATAGCTTTTCCTTACCTGTATCCTTAAAATTATGTGATATTGAAGTTTGTTTCTTAAAAACTTTGGGATCCTAAGAGAAAAGTGCTGTGTATATGCTAATTATCTTAATGTTGTTCCCTGTCACTTAATAATGGTGATATCATTCTGTTTTCTTCATGAACTTTATGAAGAGAAATACAGATAGACCATACTTACAGTTCCACTGGATACCTATACCACTGGGAGTTTTAGTAAATGGGATGATTTATATTTCTAGTGTATGTCTGTATTATTTAACAAAAAAGTAATTGAAAAACTTCAAATAGGTAAAAACTCATATTGTATTTTCCTTAATTAAATTGTTTCCCCTCTCTAATGTTGTGAATATGTTACCTTAGCTTAAATCGTTGATTTGTTAGGCAAGCACACACTAATTGTTTGCCCAACACTTTTACACTAGAGTCATATAAAATGTAAACAGACCTGTTTAACTTGTATACTTTTGTGAGTTTCCACAATATCTGACAGATATGTGAACCTGCAGAAGGATCTTCAATTATAAGAGATTTAAAGATTTCTAATTCCTTACTAAAGCCTAAATGTGAGAAATATGAGTCAGGGGAGAGATGATCAAATATTCACTAAATTAAAACAATAGCAATAAATTAACTTTAAATTTACATTTTATAATGATTATCACGTAATTTCCATTACTATAGCTCCTAAGATGTTGGTGGGTCATTGATAGTGATTATGGGGCTTAGCAACAAAAATAATTTCTCACTGAGCAAAGATTTCCTTGAGCCCTTTTTCACATGTATGATTTCTATTTTTCAGACCACCTTTCATTTCAGTTGTGCTCTTCTTGGCTTGTGGGCTATTAATCATGGTTGGCCATCATGATGATTCATGTTTTTCTGATCATGTTTTCTTAGGATGAAACAGTCATGTAGATGGTCCATATAGACATTTAGATTCACATAGGGAGCAAAACAAGCCCCACAGCTCCATAGTTCTGTGACTTCTATAATAAGTTTAAGGTTTCATGCCCTTAGATAAACCCAGGATTCTTTCATTGCTGTAAACTGTTCTATCTCTGAACTTCTTAACGTCAATATCCCATTGCTCTTTTAGTCTATATTTATCTCCCTTTTTTTTTCTTCCTTCACCATGTACAATTCTGCTGTAGTTATATAGACCCTATTAGCAATTACTCATTTTCTCATGCTATGTTCTGCCTCTGTTCCTTTGGATTCTACCCCCACCTCCTTGCATAAAATATCAAGTCACTTTATTTTTCTAGAAACTCTCATTTATCCTTCAATATTCTTTAAGTGTGATATTCTGTGTGAAACCTTCTTTGAGTTCCCCTCCTCCAAGACAAAGTAACTTCATATATTCATTTACTAAATTAACTATCCACAAGAAAACATTTCCAAAATGTAGGCAATGTAAAGAAAACTAAGATCAGCTTCTCTTTTGGCATATATAAAAATGTGTCCAAACAAAAGGTTGGTGTATCCTAGAGAAAGAAAAAGTGTTAGAATTTAATAGAGCTTTCTAAAATTGTCCCAGGAGGAGTAAACTTTGGTAAATTTGTCCAAGAAAAAGGTAACTTTCCTTTGGTTCCTCAAAAATATTACCAAAGCAAACTGTTGATAATAAAGCTGAATTTTCTTATTATGATAAGGGAATATTCTACTTCCACAAAGTCTTAGTCCCAGAGTCAGAGTCTCAGAAATGGAAGGGAAAACTTAGAATGTATGATATTTTGAAGTTTGATTTAAAACAGCTCTTTTAGTATGGAGAGTTGATTAGAATTAGATAAAGATAATTATATAATCATTTCAGACTTACAGATAGGGCAAGGGAAGGGAATCTGAGAGCCCTGATTTATAAACTATCTTTTGATACTTTTTGTTTAAGAAGTTTCCAGAATAAGCAGTAAAGACATTTACAGTTTTTATCTTTCGGGGAAGAGTTTTCTGGAATAGTAAAGTTATGTTAATAAAAACAATAAAATAGTAATTTTATGCTAAGGAAGACAATATGCTGTTTAATTATAGGTGGTTTCAGGTATCAGATATCATTTGTCATCAGTCTTCAACCTGAGCTGAAAAGTGGACAGGGAACATCTGAGATATAATTTGAGGTATAATCAATCAATAGATCAATCCGGACCTTATTGCTTCCTGAGTAATCCCAATCGTGTATCAGCTGTCTAAGGAAGTTGTTCATTATTCCTAAGTTTTAATCCTTTCCTCTATTTGTTGTTGTATGACCGTTTATTAAACCATTCATTGAAAAAAACTGTATAGCATCATTAGGCCTATAGAGATAACACATCTGAACCCTGCAACACAATGTGAAAAGGACCATGTTCAGAGTTTGCAGGACTTTTCTCAGCCAAGAGCCAAGTGTCATAATTTATGCCAATAATAACTATACACTAAAAAACTGAACCGCCATAAGAAAATTCTTAAAAATGTACAACTTACGAAGACAGTATAAGGAAGAAATAGAAAAGGCTAAATTTCTAGTAAGGAGAATGAATCAATAATAAAATTTTTTTTAAATCTCCTGAATTTTCATGAGAGCCAAGACCAGATGACTTCACTGGTGAATTCTACCAGGAATTTAAGGAAAATTTAATGCCATTTTTTCTCATATATTTTTTAAAAATTGTTAAGGCAGGAGCATTCACACTCACTTACAAGGCCTTCATTGCCCTCATGACAAGGCCAGACAAAAATGCTACAAGAAAAGAAAACTACAGGCCAATATCCCTGATGAATATAGTTGTAAAAATTCTCAATAAAATATTCGCAAATTTAAGCAAAATAAGTCAGAAGGAAAAAGACAAACAACAGATGGTTTCACTTGTATGTGGAATACAGAGAAATAAAAGAAAGGGTGAGGCAAAGCCAAACCAATAACCAACGCCTGACATCTGATGGCTAAACCAAGGAAACCATAAGGGGAGGGTGACAGGGAGAATAAGGGGAAGGAGGAGGCCCAGTGAAGCATGGCAGAAGATTATTGGTGGTGAGCATGGTGTGACACATACAGTTGTAGAAGTTTGAACATATATCTGCTAAAACAAATACAATCATGTAAACCAACTTTTCCTCAATAAACATAATTGAGTGAGTAAATTATTAACAAACTGAATCCAACGATACATTAAAAAAAATCGTTCACCATGATTAAATGCAATTTATCCTTTGACTGCAAGGGTGGTTCAACATGTGCAAATTAATAAATGTGATGCATCACATTAATAAAAGAAAAGAAAAAGTTATATGAGATATATCTCAGTAGATGCAGAAAAAGTATTCAATAAATTTCAATATCTGTTCATGATAAAAACTTTCTAACTATGGTCTGAAAGAAGTGAACTTCAGATAATAAAGGTCACATATGACTGACTAGTCGACAGCTAATATTACTTAATATTGGAAGATTGAAAGCTATTATTCCAAGATCAAGAATAAGACAACTCTTACCACTGTTATTCTCCATAGTTCTAGACGTCCTAGCGAAAACAATCAGGCAAGAAAAAAAAATAGAAAACAAAATTTAAGTCAAAATGGGTTAAAGACTTGAATGTAAAACCTGAATCCGTAAAATACATAGAAAAAAACATGGACAAAACTCTCCACAACACTGGAGTCACTGATGTTTTTGGGGTCTCAACTCCAACTGCAAGGTAAATAAAAGCAAAAATAAATAAATGGGGCCACCTCAAACTGAAAAAGTGCACAGTAAAAGAAATTATCACTAAACAAAAAGACATCCTATGGGGGAAATGGGGGAAAATGTTTGCATATGGGGGAAAATGTTTGCATATCTTACATCTTGCAAGGGGTTAATATCCAACATCTCGAAGGAACTCATATAATTCAACAAAAAAAAACAAAACCCCAATCAAAAATGGGCATAAAATGAAATAGATGCTTCTCCAAAGAAGACATACAGATAGCCAGCAGACAACTGAAAAATAGTTCATTATCACTTATCAGGAAAGATACCCCATGTCCATTTGTTTAAAGAATTAATGTTATTAAAATATCTATATTAATCAAAACCATGTACAGATTTTTTTTTTATGAAACTTTTTTTTTTAAGTTTTATTCATTTTTATTTATACAAGCACTGGGTACAGTCAGAAGCGTGGGAGGGTGAGAGAATTCACCAGAGCCAGAGCGGGGAACAGAACAGGCAGACTGACGCAATACACTGCTGAGGGGAGCAGTGAGTGCGGCAGGAGAGGTCTGCGCACCATGTGGGACCCTCGCCGGAGGCTGGGGATCAAACCAGTGCTGCAGAGGCTGCGGGCAGCTTCGCAGCCCAGTGCTCAACCACTGTGCCACCAGGGGAGGCCCAAAACCATGTACAGATTAAAAAAAAAAAAAAACCTATGAAATCCAATGGTATTTTTT